ATAAGAATCTTATCCTCATTTTTTTAAATGTTTTATTGTGAATTATGTGATAGTTTACATGGGAGAACATTAGCTTTACATTCATCCTATCGTATATCATTTCATTGCTATGGTTACAATCCCCTCCATGCGTCATCAACAACCAAAGGATATACCCTGCAAGCTTGCCACCCTCCAGTGGTCAGTACACAGCCCCTCTCCCTCTCTGGGACTAGAGTCCCCAGCTGCTCCATCTCTCCATGTCATCGTCTCTGCCTCCATCTCTGGCGTCACTGTTTCTCTGGGTATGGTCCTGCACTCTGCTCTTCTCCCCTGATGGTTCCAGAGACCTCGGCTCCTGGACTGCAAAGTCAACCACTCCCCTCAGTTTGCTACAAAATGTCTACCTTTACATTTCCAAGGCTCACAGCCAGTCCTGATAGTAATCATTCACTATTGTGCCACATGAGAACCATCCCTCATGGGGTTGTTTTAAAGATCAAATAAAATATTGCATAATAATTTAGGATCTATGAGATAATGTACGTAGAGTACTCAGCACAGGGTCAGGAACTTAAAAAGCACTTTAAATTAGTAGATAAACAGTAATAGCATTATTAATGGGGAAGCACGGTTTGTAGAGGTTTGGTGCATGAACTCAGGAGTCAGACTGCTTGGGTTCAAATGTCAGTTCTCTCACTCATAGTTTTGCGACAGTGGGCATGTTACTTGTCCTGTCTACGCTTCAGTCTTTCTACCTGTAACAAGAATAATAATGGCACCAATCTCACAGTATTGCTCTAAGTGCCTGGCCACTATTAAGTATATGTATTTTCCAAGTGGCAACTGTTATTACTGCTAGCTATAGTAATAGCTTTGTCCCAGATGAACTTTGCTTTCCTTCACAATTTTTCCTAAAGTTAGTTCTGATACCAGTCTACACTTGTCTTAGAAAATATTATTCCAGGTGTCCTGGCTGTCTGCTTTAAGCACACTCTCTCTCTGTATAGGTACGATTTTTGAGGTAAGTGTGGCTTGAGATCACTCTCTATCACGTAAAACGATATCTACTATAGAGCAGATGGAGTCCTGTTGTGGTGCGGTGGGTTAATATGCTGGACAGCAAAGTTGGTTTGAACAGCAAGGTTGGTGGTTCAAGCTCAGCAGCCGCTCCTCAGAAACTCTATACAGGGTCGCTATGGGTCAGAACCGACTCGACAGTGCTTAACAACAACAACAATAGAGTAGATGGAGTCCTGGTGTGGTACTGTAGTGTAAGTACTGGACTGCTAATCTCAAGGTTGATAGTTCAAATCCACCAGCTGCTCCTTGGAAACCCTATACAGGATAACTATGAATCAGAACTGACTCAGCAGCACTTAACAATAACAGCAACAAATAGAACAGATAATGGTATTTTCTTTTATGTTTGTCATATAAAAACATTGGGCGGTTGCTAATGATTTCTGCACTTTGAAGCTGGCAGAAGATGTACTGAGCTTCTTTGCAGTTCTAAGAATACTGGAAGATACAGAAATACCTTCTGGGCCTCGTGTTCTTAGAGAATGAGTTGTCCCACAAAAGCAGATTGTCCTACTATCCAACACTGACTTTTTAAAGCATCAATGCTTGGAATCTTTTTTATCCACTTTGGATGGAAGTCTTTCTAGAAAGTATATCATAATCTTCTGTCTTCTTAAATGAAAGGCACTGGGCATATCTTCACCTCTTTTTGATGATTCAGGTGGGCCTTTATGAAAATTGTAGCAAGGCAGTATACTGTCTAGTTTGAAAGATCTGGGTTTGGAGTCTTGGCTCACCAGTTACTGACTGTGTGGCTCTGGGAAAGGTGACTTGATGTCTCTATGCTCCAGTTTCCTCAGTTGTAAAATGGAGACATTAATAATATCTGGAGTCCTGGTGTGGTGCTGTGGGATAAAGCACTGAAACGCAACGTTGGTTTGAACCACAAGATCAGTGGTTCAAATTCACCAGTTGCTCCTTGGAAACCCTATACATGGTTGCTATGAGTCAAAACCAACCCAACAGCACTTAACAATAACAACCACAACAATATCGACTCCATGAGGTTATTTTAAGGATCAAAGACGTCAATGCATCGAAGACACTTAATCTTTCATTGCACACAAGACCTATGCAATAGCTGTTCACTGCTATTGTTATTACTAGATAGTGTTCTTTGCCTGGCTTTATGCAAAATTATGCCTGTAAGATGTAAGAGCTATACTAAGGCACTCCTAGAACCTTCAGAGAAGTCTATTAAAATCAGTACATAATGAAGGGGTCTGCAAGCTGAGTTGGGGAGCACCTAGCAGTCTCAAGTTCCAGGTAACTAGGAGACCAAAACAAGTATCTGCAAAAGTCACTTCAGATAGAGTACCTCCCAAGCCCAAAGTGCCTAACAGAGTGCATGGCACAGGAGATGCGTAATATATTTTGTAGACTGTATAAAATTATGATTGCATGAAAAGCAGGAAGAGCAGGGCTTTACTACTGCCCAGAACACACTATTATTTATCTAAACTATGGATGACAATAAACCATCCCCAGGAATTGCTTTCAGCCAAACAACAGACAAACCTATGAAGTGAACAAACAATAACACTCAAAAAGAACATAGTCCCCAGAACATATGAGATGCAAAGGGCAGCATTTGCCCCCAAACAAAGTTCAGAAGGTAGGAAAGGTCATGAAAGAAGGGTGATTAGATACAGAGAACCCAGGGAGGAAGTGGGAAGAGTGCAGTTACATTGAGGTTATTGAAACCGATGCTATAAAACAGAATATGTATGAATTGTTTAATGGAAAACTAATTTGCTCTGTAAACTTTCACCCAAACCACAATTTAAAAAAAGTCAAAAAACAAAACAAAACAACAACAAAGAAATAATGACAGCTCAGAATGGTCAGTTTGGAAATATAGTAGGAGACAGAGATACAGCACCACACTAATAAACTGAGTATTGGGTTTTGAGGTATGGAGAGCACATTGAAAAGATACCACCTTCTGGCCATTTGTTTCTGTGTCCAGTTGGCCTGTGACTTCCATCTTTGTGTTCTCACACGACTACAGTGCCTGTATGGTGGTTCTGTATGATAAGCACTGGACTATGAACCATATAGTTCGAGCTCACC